CAAACCTTTTTTTTCAAGTTTTTTGTTTATTTATTTTCAAATTTTGCATCTTTATTTTTCTAAAACACCTCATACCCCTGCAAAAAACAGAAATTCATTTCTAAAAAATACAGGTGAACTCAGGGACCATATATCTGATGATAAAAAATGAAAAAAAAAAATCTAGTTTTTCTTTCTTTATTTATTTTTAATTTTCTTTAAATCGAATTTAGTTTTTGATTTTTTCAAAATCCTAAACAAAGTCGGATTTCAAAAAACAAAACATGGGGTTGTAGGGCTTAAAATTTCCTACAACCACATATATATATATTTGTTTTTGGCCTATTATTGAATTCAGGAAAAATCTGGGAGAATCGGGTCCGCGGCGCGGACCCGGTAGGCCGCGGAGGTGGCTGTGAATACGTCCGCCCTCCGAGCTCGGCCCCGCGGACGCGTCCGCGGATGTTTCATAGGGAGCAGGCGGCAAAGAAGAAGTTGGAGGAAGAGTTGAGGAGACTCCAACAAGAGGAGGAAGAGAAGAAGAAGGTTGCTGAAGAAGAAGTGGCAGCCGAAGAGGAGGAAGAAGAAGAAGCAGAACCCCTCGAAAGGAGGCGTACGAGGGAAAGAGGAGAAAGCAGTGACACGAAAGGGGAAGATCCCTAGATTGAGAAAAAGATTAGTGAGTGGGTAGCTAATCTAAGTTTGGGAGAAGAAGAGGAGGCAATGTTATATGTTCCGCAGGAGGAGAAGGATGTTGTAGTCAGGGAGTTTGAGGCAATGGACAACCTCGTGGACCGCCAGGCGCTAGAGAATGAAAAGAAGTTAGAGCGGAAATTGCGTCTGGCAAGGGAGAAGAAAAGAAGGAGGGAGGAAGCCAGCCGGATGGCAAAAGAGATGGAGAAGGTGCACTCTTGTAAGAGGAAAGTAGAAGCCCAGCAGGATATTCAGGCTAAGCTGGATAAGATTCTGACTAGCATAAAGATTTTGGGTCAGGCCTGGACCGAGCAACAAATAACCAGTCAGGGCCAGTGTCGTACCCCCGTTCACCGTTCACGGGGTTGGTGAACGCGGGCCGGCCACCGGTCACGAAAAACGTGACCGGTCGTAGTTCACGGAGTTCATGCAGAGCGGGAACTCCATTTTTTTTTTTTTTTTTGGCTGGTAGGGGGGTGTTTTTTTTTGCATAGGTGTGTGGTCCATGTCAACGGGCACCTGCCCAATTTTTAATTTTTTTTTATGATCAGAATTTTTTTTTTTTTTTTATTGAAAAAAAAAAAACCAAAAAAAAACGAGTTTAGTTGTGTTTGTTATAACTTCCGTCGGTTGTACCCCCATTCTGAGGGTGTTTTGGGGCCCTACAAAAAACAGTAACTGACGACATCTAACACGGCGCAAGCGCCATACAACCACCAAAAAAAAAAAAAA